CTGAGTGCTTATACTCACCTATCCACCCCTCCCTTACTACTAGTGAATCTATCAAGTTTATATTATATTGCCTCTCATACCTGGTGAAATACAAACAAGGTCTTCACGAGCCTGGGAAAGCTGCAACAGTTTTTCCTTATGTATTTCTTCTAAGCTGCTGAGTTTGATTTCAAGTGTTTCTCTCACTTGCCTTAACCTCAAAATTTGCTCCGAAGCCATAGACTTATTAACAGGCTCTCTGGATGTCCTTCCAGGCTTACAAGAATCCCTGTCAGTCAATTTCTTAATGCAAACAGAAACTCGTTTTGGTTTCAAATCCCTGCACTTTTCTCGACGGTTTGATAAATCTTTCTGAAGTTCCTTTATTTCAGACAAAAGCTTGCTGTCAAGTAAAGATAAGGCATCTGAGAGATTAGCACGTCCTTCTTCACAAGACTGTAGACTTGCTTTGATCTTCTTCCACATTTTAGAAACTTGTCTGTATGTTGGCTCCTGAGTATTCAATATTTGAGAAAGTCTAACCTGATGTTCTTTAGCAATTTGCAAATCCTTGTTTGGCTTAAACTGTGGAGCCTGTTCATGACTATCACACTGTGCAGTGTCTTCTTCAGCATTGTCTAAAATTTTTCCATCCAATACACTTTCCATCCACTTCCAGAATGTAAGTTCATTCACAGACCAGCAAACAAGATCTTTAGCATAGTTGCAAAACCACTCTAGCTTCTCTTGGTATTTCACTAGTTCATGAGGATAACGCAAAAAGTAAACATCTTGAGATGAGAAATGACATGACGTTTGAGATTTGGACGTTTTTGAAACTGAATGCAATTTGTACATAATGTTTGTGTATTCGTTCATTGAACCCAGAAGATTCTTCAAGGAGGAGTTTAATTTATTGTAATGTAGTATTAAACACTCAGCAAGATCAACTGTTCTGTCGCCATTTTCTTTGTTTGTTTGTCCTCTGAAGACATCAAGTGCAGCAGGTAGAGGAATTTTATCATACAAAGACAAGTCCACGGGTGGATCTTCAAAAACCAAAGGTTCAAGTTTGTTAATGAAAGAGGACACAACATCTTCTCTAGCAATCAACCATCCCAAAGCCAACATCAATTCTCTGCTGCCACGAGACATGTCATCTGGAAGCCGAAAGAACTCGTTTAATCGATAACCTTTGTGAAACATTTTATGCTTACAGAACGCCACTACGCTTTGGTTGCTTTTATCGATGGGTTTGGTCAAATTTTCTGTGCAAAGAACTGTGAACAGAGTCGACCATAACGACTCCGTTGCTTCCTCTTTGTTGAACTTTGCCAAACGAAAACACTCTGCGGATACTTTGGTAGGGCAGTTGCTATTTAAAACGGAGCAAAGTGCTTCAATGGTCTCTCGAATTTGCGCCATGATGTATAATATCCTTTCCTGGAGTCTTTACTTGAATTTGTAAAGTTTTGCCGCCATTTTGGTTTTTAGCGCATGGGTAGCTTAGAGGAAAGCCACTGGACACAACAAACACAGCATGCCGCTTCAGAGTATTTGAAAAATCACCATCAAAAGAACATGTTTTTGAGCTTCTTACGCAAAGAAGTTCGGAGGTCTAGATATTGTCGACCGTAAATATTTCAAACAAACGACGAACAAGGAGATAAACAAAACTTTTTCAAAACTTTTCTTTTTTACATCAAAGTCATTCCCAGTCTCTTTTGATTGGCGCGGTCACTCTTGCAGCTTCTGTTTTCTTCAACCGTTGGCGCTTTTTACAAACTTCATTTATTATTTATTACGGGAAAGACAGATGTTATTCTTAACTGGATCATTATTTGGGGGATTTTTGCTGCTGGCAGAAAAATAGGATACAAGCCAGAAGTGGAAATTAGTCTCTAAGTGTGAAAGAAGCCGCTACCTGCCGATAGATTGAGAACGTAGAAAGGAATTGCTGGGAATTGAAAGCGACGAAGTTCACAGTAATCCCTTTTGATTAATTGCAAAGTGACTTTCATTAGAGCCATTTGAAAAGTCAACCGAGACAATGTCTTCTCGTCGTTACGGGGAGCTCAGTGGACATGATTCAGGGTCACTAAGTGAGCGACAAGACTCGATGTTTGATCGCTACTTGGAAGAGATGAAGCCTTATGTACTTCGTCTACCTCAGAAATCAGGTACAAAATATAACCTTAACTTTAGCTCAGATCTTTATACTGAATTTCTTTCTCTGGCAACTCATGATGGTGTCAACTGACGCTGTAGTTTTAATTGTTGTTGTGTTTTTTTGTTATTTATTTGTAAAAGGAAATCATAAAACATAGCCAAAGATCACAGTAATAATCGCCCCATGCCAGGATTTAGAATATTAACATAAGGCTTAACTTGAAAATAACAGCGGGTAACCCAGATCGTTACACACTGCACTTTTATGGAATGACCGAGGGACGAGTCTAACTTCAAGTAATCCGCAATAATTCATTGAGTTTGGTTATTTTCTGTAGGCAAAAATCCAAAGGTTTTCAGCATCTACAGATACAGGTTGCTGAACTGCACATCAAAATTTTTTCTCTTTGTAAAAGTAGAAGGGTTACTCTGAGGTAAAGTTATACCCAGGCCTTGCTTGCTAACTGTGTGTCACTTCAAGTTTCTTTGACGCTTTCTGGAAAATGAGGAAAAGCCAAGTAATTTGTTGCTCTACATATGATACCATGTTTCCAGGGTTATGATATTTTTACAATGATATTTATGACTTTTACATGTAAGTATATAACTCAGGAGTTTCAAATTATATAAAGGAATGGCAACCAGACAAATTGACCAGCTGTGAGGACAATTTTTGACCATTCAGAGGAAACCTTTTCTTACAAAGAAGTTCAGTTCAAATAGTTTTGCCTGCCTGTAAAATCCAGTTGCCTTCCTGATGAAAAAAATTATGTGAATAATACACCTGATACCTTCATAAATTAGCCATAATTATGGCTAGTTAGCTTTGAAAAAAATCCAAACTTTGTAATATTTTTGTGAATATTCATTTTCAAAGTGAGAAATCGATTAAATATTAACCCTAATTATTTGTTACTTCCTGACCCAGAAGGTTATTGTTGGTTGTCACACAAAGTGTGAAGCATAAGTGAAAGTGTGAATCATAGACAAGAACTGATAATGAGTGCAAGCTTACTCACAAAAGCTCTGGTTTATGATTTATACAGTATTTCTTTTGAGTATATAACAAGCTTAAATAAATGCAACAGCCTTAATACCTGCTAAAAGAGCAAACAATAACAGGTCCAAAGTCATGATGGATAAACTGGCTGAAAAATGAAGCACAGTTATTTACTTTTTTTAGATAAGCAGAAAAATCCATGCAACATAATGTTACATGTAGATGAAAAACTTTGATCACTTAGCCATGGCTTTAGAGTCTATTCCGAACTCAAAGCCTTGGCTAAATGACCCAATATTTCTGTCTAACTTCATCATTGCATGAACTCACTAAGTCATTAAGCATTGTTTTTCAAGGCTGGTTAAATGATCGCATGTGTTTAAATCTAACATGATGTTGGATGAACATGTTTAATAATTTGCCTACATATAGTTTCAGATGTAAATAATACAAGCAAATAACTGTTTTAAACTGAGAAATCTTGATATTTTAATGTTAAGTATCACTGTGTACTTTCACTTGCCTTACTGCAGAGGCCTAATCAGCCTCATCAACCCAAGTATAAATAAAGTTATGAATATATGCATGTATTTCCCAAAATACTGTAAGGCTTTCAACAACACACAGGAATACTACTTCTCAGGATTTTTACTACCAAAACATCACTAGTAATAAAATTATTATTCATGAAGTTTTGGTTATGCTATTTATAATATTCCATCGATGCAGAAGACTTTTTGTTAGAGATCAACTGGTAGATATTTTCAAGATGAAAAAAAAAAAAACATTGAAGTGGTGGGAATCTTAGCCCAAGAATCCAGCCAATCAAATCATGTGTTTCTAGAACCACCTTTTCTTTGTGCTGAATCCCTGCTGGCCAAGAAGGACAGGTGGCTCTGGGGACAAGACCTGACCCTACTAGGCAGAGGGTTTTGGTCTTTTCCTAGCCTAGCTAAACTTTGCTTAGGTGGCAACAAAACTATTTATTGTTTGTAATTATTTAAGAAATAGAGAACATGTAGCTTGTTTCCACTGAGTTATAGATTGAAAAATAAGTGAAAGGTTGGGAGAACAAACAATGTTGTAGGAACACGAGCCGGCAGGCAAGTGTTTTTACAGCTGTTTTAGAAACTCAATAGAAACACGGAGAATGCATTTTCTGTTTCTTTTATAAAATAGCACGACGAAAAAAGAAAAACTTGTTTACTTCAATCATCAAAATGTAAATTTTCTTTGTTTGCACCATAATTACATCAACAGCTCATGCTAGTTCTGTGTTTCTATCCAGTTATAGAAACACAATTTTAAACCAATCAGCATGCATATTTGCTTTGGGTTATTTTCTAAATTGTATTTATTTATTGCTTGATTCTGGAGTTTATAGAAGCTACATGTACCTAATGGACAAAGCATTTTGAAAAATTGGCAATTTTGTCAAAGTTGGTCATGTGTAATCCTCAGTCAGAGCAATCCTTGGTCATATTTTGAATTTTATTCACATGTACTTAAAAAGATTATTAGTAAGTTACATTATCCTCTATTTTGAAAGTGATTTTGTACAGTACCAAAATGACCTGGAATTACATGTATTGTGTTGTGGCTGCTTTATGATGGTGATAAAAGAAACTAATGTACAAAGTAGTTATATAATATCTTCCTTGCTCCAATTTAAAACTGGAACTAGAAACAATTTGCGAATGAACATATTTTGTCATTGTTTATAATAGAGAGGCAAAGAGTTGCACTGTGGATTAAAAAGCTTTGTGAGCCTCCTGGACCAGGCACCAGTGGAAGGTAAGTGCAAAATGAATCAAATATGGGCCTCCATCACAGCAACTCAAGTGCAGATCACGTTAAATGTTTGTGGAGTGACTGAGATTTCCTTGTTTTTACACTTCCAAATATGACTAAGACTTGAGCTGCATGATGGGAGGACCTGTACAAACTATAAATATGCTCGGATATTTTTCTGTGGACATTATCTGTTCTGAGAAGTGAACAGTTTTCCAAGAACATAGCTTGAGGAAAACTGTGAGCTTCAAGGAACAGATAATGTCCAAGGACAAATATCCGAGCATATTTTTGCCCCAAGTGGAAGCTATTGTGTTTATTATTCTTCAAATCATTTTCGTAACGCACACAGTTTTGACAATTGGGGAATATTCTTGAATATTCCCGATTAATTGGCAGTTAACTGTCATGTGTTAGGCCATACCAAGACGAAGTGATGATTAACTTCTCAATTCCCGGTATCAACTTTATAATAAAATATATTTGGCTGATTTTTAGAGTCTAACTTCCTGTACTGGTATGTGACAAGAGTAGAATTGTAGGGTTTTCTAACTGTAGTGTATCTCAAAATGTCCAGACCCTGACACTGGGAAAGTTACATACAAGACATGTTTTAAGATGTTGATGAATTTACAGGATGCCCACTTTTAAGCACTTAGCCTAGCTCTTGAAAGCCTCTTAGTCGGCACTCCCTGGTTGGTAAATCTCTATTTGTAATCACTTTCGACGTGTGAAGCCAATACTTAATCTGTTGTTAATGTTCATTTCCTGTTTGAAGGAAAAATCGTAACCTGTACGCCCAGCTGTTGCTTCACATGGTTAAACGTGGCCTGTTAGAGGAGCCATTTACCAGACGACCCGAGGCAGGACCTCTTCAGCCATTGCCATCTTACATGGTATCTATCACTTATGCTGCATCATGTTTCATGCATTTCAATCTGTGAACCATACTATTGTAAAATTAAGGATTCTCTGCAGGGTAGCTTTATTGCTAGAGTAGGTGGGTGATTTTGCCATCTTTTCTGAAGCATCAGAAGGATTGTTCAGGGGAGAAGCTGGCAGAATCATGAAGTAGACAGTAATTTTTGTCAGCAGTTGGCTACTTTTGACAACCTTATACCTGTACATGCAATTGGCAGCTGGAAAGTATGGTGCATGAGTGTGCTCAGACCATAATACCACATAGATCTCTTTACAATGGTACCATACCGTAACTTTGAAATAAAAGATCTTCTGTTAGTTTTGTAGCTAGATTCTTGTGTAACTTTTGATATAAAAGTGAATAAGCCAAGGGTTACCTGCAGATGCATGAAGGTCAATGTTATTATTGGTACTGTGTACTACATGTTATTGGTCCTCACTTCTCTTTAGTTTCTGTTTAGTATAGCTTGGTCATGTCACCTATTTACAGGCAGAAATGAGCTTTGCACGACCCAAAAAAGCAGGTGTCATATTACACTCCTACAGTAACTCCCCATAATGGCCACCTCTCTCCACTTCTTTCTGTCCCCAAGTTGGTCACCCGACTGTAAAGTTAGATATTAAACACTCTTACATTGTACTGATTAAACCTTGATGTAGCTTACATATATTTCTGCAGTGACCTATATGAGCTTTCATTGTGCATGAGTGACACATGACTTAATCCTTGCATTTGAATCTTCTTGTAGTCAATATACCTTGATGAACCTGTAACCAAGAGAAGTGCTAGTGTAGAACTTGAAGAGGTAGAGTACTGTTAAGGATGGCTTGTTTTGTCAGCGACTTTTCTTATTTGTTATATGACTGAGAAAATTACTTCAATGTGTTTGGCTGAGAGTGGGCCAATTTATCATTTATTTTTAATTTGTACTGCAGGATTAAGGCGCAAGCATTATTTTGTGATTTTCTCAGTCAAACAATAAAGGAGTAATCGTTCAATATCAAGCAATTTAGGATTTACACTATTCTTTATATTTGAAATTCTTTCAAATTGTATTGGCCTAAAGGTTTGTGCAGTTTTGATAGAATTTTCAAATGTCGCTCCTGGTGTAAAATCCTTAATTTCACTTGCATTCAAAAATATGTAAAACTCTGTTGTTAACTACTTAAACAGTGTAGCATCTGTAGCAAAATACGTACAAGGGTATATATTAACAAATTGATTATACAGCAATTAATTTTACTTTATTTCAGTTTACTGCTATTAATAATTAATGTTATTACTCACCATATATTTACTTGTTTCTGTTCAGGAATTTGGTCATCAACCACCAGATTGGCTCAAAGAAATCGCCAGTTCATCAGGTATTGAAAGCAAGGTTAAGCTAGATACAGCTTATCTATAAATTAGAAATAGTCAAGAGCAGTTTTCAATTGAGTGTCATAATAAAACCAAAGCAAAGTAATCACTCCTGACAAGCCAGTCTCAAATTAAACAGGCAATCCTTTGACCCAATCAAAACTCAAAGTAAATACATGTACTAGATAATGCAAAGTGCAGGGAAATGTGTCCAAGCAAGATGCAGTTGGTTCTGGTTTTACTTCTGATTGGATGACAAACTGGCACAAGTTTTCTAGGTCAATTCCATAGTTTAGCAATTGCAAAACCAAAGTAAATTAACGTGAATTACCTTTAGCCCTTAAGTGAAACCTCAAGGTTTTCAAATTTAGCTGGTGCCCAGCGCAAGTCACCGGCTACTTGAAGCATTTGCGCTGGCTAAGTTGGAAAACCATGAAACTGAAGCTCACTGAAATTGCATTGTAATTGCCCCAAAATGGCATGGAGACAAAAGTAACACACAGAAGAGTCAAAGTAATCTGTTTTTATTCAATGTCTTTTCCATATTTTGAACTGTCACATACAATCATCACACCCCCATACAAACTCTTATATTTACGCTGTTAACTACGCAATGTCATGTAATAATGTTCACAGCTCCCAACTACACCAGGGGCTTGGGACTGCTTGGGCTGCAAATTGCAGCGAATCAAGGTAGAAACGAAACAAGACTGTAGACTTTGTTGTGATACTTCATGTATGCGAAAGGAAAGATATCAATGGAAGTCACCCTATGGTTCTGTTGATTCGTCTACAGCTCTCTTTCATCACGAAAGCAAAACTGATCTTGAGCCAGAACTGCAGGAAAATGAATTTTTTGGGGGGTCGAAACTAAGTATTTTCCTAAAACTGAATTCAAGGAAAATGTATTCATTTTAACTTTGTTGGTATTAGGGTGTAAAGAATAAATATATGTAATTGGCCGGCTGGGAGGTCCGTATAGGGAAAAACTGTGACCGAGGTCTTGAAAATGCTGCCCTCGGCCTGCGGCTTTGGGCAGCATTTTCAAGCCCGAGGTCACAGTTTTTCACTATACGGACCGACCCTAAGGTGGACAATAACATTTTTATCTTTTTTTCTTGTGGTAAATTGGCTTACAAGTGGGTTTGTTTACGCAGCTTTGTCACTGAATTGGCTTACGCGCCGTCTACAGACTCTACAAACCATTGGTAA